AATCATGCGCTTAGCATCCCTGTTGTTGTGTTAGACTGCGTCACCGGCCTAACAACTTTTTATCGACCCTCGGCACCGTTCAGAGCCTGACTAAGGGCGCTAGATTCGGACTGCTATTTGCCCCACTTCTTGCTCTAACGTTGTGCGGAGTTCAAGAATGAACTCTATGTCGAATTTAGAACCGCCCGTAGCTAAAGCGAGACGGCTCTAGGAAATCACGTGTAAGCAAGAGTGCGTCAAGGTCATGCACTAACATGACGGAGCTTTCTTAAGCCTGAAATTGCATTGACTATGAACAAGATTGCAGCATAGAATTTCGCGGCAATCTCTCATCGTGAGGCCTCCAATAGACGCCCAGCCGATGGCAGAAATGTCGCAGTAGCTCGTCAATTCCCCTCTTCTATCCCTGCTACATGTTGGAGGATGGTGCCATCTCGGACTCGCCTCCTGAGCCTGATACGAGTTGTTCTAGAGGCCTTTGGTACAAATCCTCTCTTCGATTGGTTCTCTCAGCAGGTAGAGAGGGCGAAGGATCTGGTCACGAGTCGCTCGACGCGGTCCGAGTCACCAACCCCCTTTTCAAGGGTTGCCAAGACTACCTGTCGCTTGGACGGAAGTTCCTTGATTACTTCCTGTTGTTCCTCGGCTCACCTGTTTCCGTGCTGATCGGGATGGCTCAGACACTTCAGAAACACATTCGCGGGAGAATTCGGGATTAGGTAGATATAGTTACAATTCTTTGGATTTTCACCTAAGCCAGAGGTCCAAAGTGGAAGTCAATGTAAGATTTGAGCTCTCATCAGATTTGAAAAGTTCTCTGAGAACTAATTGTACTAATTGTATGATGTATTGACTGACGATTGTCGATGGAAAATATTTCAGGGTAAGCAATCCAACGTATCCATTCCTGGGCGTTCTTGAGCAATGTAGCTATCATCCTTCTATCTGTTGACCGTGATGCCTCGCATGATGAGCCAACAAATTTAACGGGAACCGCCTGACTGCTGTGCCAGCCACACCACCTCAGCTGACCCTCCATAGCCGTTTCTTGACCAGTTTGACGTTTTCTTGTGAGTCGAGGTCTCGCAGCCGTGACTTCACAAATGCTCTGCAATACGTGGCAGACATGGGTCATCAAGGACATAGCTTTACAACATTGCCCCAATGAAGTGAAACGTAAAACCTTGGACAATATGTCAGCCACGAAGAGTTCAAGTCTGCGTTGGGTAATAGTGGTGCTGAACCCCATGCGAGGTATCATCGCGGCCGAATGCACACGAGGGCACGGTTCTTCGATCGGAACTTGCACAATCAAAGGTCCTGGGTGTTGAACTGCAAGATGCTCATGTATCACGTTATCCCAGGTGACGTCAACCCGGAAATAGATAAGCCCGCCTCCATCCCCTACTCTGATTTCCTCAAGGATCGGTGATTCGGGTAGCTCAGCATCTTGACTTGTCTTGGACTGTAATGTGTTAGGCCTGGACCACAGGTGTACGACAGTATCTCGCTGGTCCTTGAGACAGAGGTTACCGAGCGAGACAGTAACCTTTTCTCGATCTAACCCAATCCCAGAATCACGTTTGTCGCCGATTACCTGCACCGATACTGGTGAGGAATTGTCGGTTCGAAACGTCAACTTGACATTCTCTAGTACCACCCTCTCCAGGAACCGAAAACAGGCCAACAGAGAGTCAGGAAGGCCCATCCAATCCTTGACGTAGGTGTAAGCTGCCTTGGTTCCAGAGGCGAGCTGTACAAGGGCTTCTGGATCGTGTGATACGCCAAAACCGAACGTACAGATACCAATACCAGCGACATTTGCCCGGGCTATGATACTCTGAATTCCAGAAGTCTCGACTGTTGATGCATCACTAACGACCATCAGAGTAGGGCTTGATGTGGCGGGAGATTGCCTTTCCGTCAATGCATCAATCGCTATGCTGATACCGGCCATAGGCTCCTTTACAAGATTGTTCGGTCTTCGGAATAATGTGCTGGATGGATCATAATCCCATGCCCAATATCCTTCGACAAAGTTGGCCACTGAGTATTCCCAGTTTTCTTCAGAACGTGGTCTGATGATGCCAAAGCTGTCGCCTTCGCGCAGAGCCCCCTTCAAAGCCTGGATAGCTCTCTCAACAATCTGCAGCTTGATCTGTTGTGCCTCTGGGGAAATGCATAAGACGAGGATGGCGTTTACTGGGCAGCGAAATGGTCTCGAGGATTTTCGGTTGTCATTATCATGATGAGGAGGTGCAACGGCACCATTAGGGGACGGTTTATGTCTTCCTGGTGGTCGGCCTACAGCCTTTCGACAATTGTGCTTGTTGACTGCTAGGTCTTGCCCCGGTATTCTGTCTGACTGACCGATTGTCAAGGATACGAGAAAAGACATCCTCGTTGCCTGGTCCAGTTTGTCTACCGGTGGAATTTCACAAAAGGCCGACAGATGGGGAGAAACAATTTGATGCTTGTCAAAGTCAGCCATGGATGGTGACTGAAAGTCGTGCCTCATTTGACCTTGGAGAGGCATATTGTCTTCATATGGCTAGAAGACGTATGAGATCAGTGTAAGCATGAATGACAGTGTAACATGTGTTATCTGTTCGGCTGTTAGACTTGAGCAACAATCAAAATGATTCGATTTGAGCTTCCATATATCTTCTTATGTTCTAAGCTTTCGATACGTCCTGGGATTTGTTTAAGCTTCCATAACAATGCTTAGTGAGGGGATCTTCTGACAGGTTGTCGCTTTTGCCATGGAAAAACGACAGCGGACAATCTATAAGCCACGTGTACCAACACACCATACGAGGCCTTTGTAGATCCTGGTTTTCTTGTGTCTTCGTTCCTCTTACTGGATACCTTGAGTAAATTGGTCACTCCTCCATGTGCTCGCGAACGTTGGTTGGCTCTGGAGCTGTTGTTTGTGGTGTGCGACAAAGTTCATGCCGGGATGCCAAAGAAATATCTCGTATAACCAGGGTATCCAGGCTAGGCTAGCACTAGATCCAAATTTCACAGCGCCACAACTGAACGCTTGCATGATTTCAGGTCAGACGAAAGATACTCAAGGCTGTTCGATGTCTTTATCTCTTAAAGCTGCCGAATACTATCAAGCCCATATCCCTCACGCAACGCCTGTCCGCTAGTGAAGAAGCTTTGGTGGGGCTGAAACGTGTTGGAAACGCTCGCTGCTGACTTATCCTACCCAATGCTCTAGTAACACTCCTTGAAATTAGTGTTTGGTCTGCGGATCGGATGTCTCAATGACAAACCCGGATGAGGTAAGCAGTCGTCAACAACGCGAATGGAGAGACAGCGGCTTAGATATCTCTATGAAAGTTACTGCTAAAGATTCATAGACATTGTCATTTAGTTTGTTGGCCAAATATCGATGGTACCGCTACACGCTTGGAAGATCTAGAGCTGCATACTTCTGCAAACGGTTTCAGGCACCGATGTAACGGTTATGGTAGCAATAACGGCTCAAGACTTTCCCTTGCGGCTTATGCAGCCTATACGAGATGGTCCGCCCCCTCTGATAGCGGTGGAATTGTTCATGCGTCTTTCTGCATTCAGACTAGTACTTCCGGATACCGAATGAAACAAAACACGGTAATCAGATGACTTATGAAGCAATGGCAGCACCTTTTTCTCGTATATGCACGGCTCGCGGTTGGCCTTTCATCCCGGCAGCTAATCATCAAGGTCCTGGTAGGCCAAAAGAGGAAGCTTCTGTTTATCTCCACCGGTCCCTTAGCACAGATCACTCCGCATTATTCTTTCGGTGTCGTATACAAAACATTTAATCAGAATGGGTGATGATAGATTATGCTGTCAGTTGCATTTAACGCGATTTCCTCCGCCTTGTATCCTCAAGAACCTCCACCACGATGACCTTTCTATGTATGAAAATTTTTAAGTCTTTAAGCACAGCTACACGAACTTCATCCCTGGCAGCCTTTGCTAGCTTTATAGCCAATGTCAGGAGGCTTCTAGCGTCGTAGGTAGCTACCGATCGTCCGCTCTGAAACATCTTGCTAATCAGCCAAGCATCTGTCAATAAACTTTCCAGGGATATCGAACTTTCGGCAGCGGACCGTAGCGCCAAGTGGGCTTGGTGCTTTCTCCAAAATATGGCCCAGTAGTTGAAACCAAGTCTCGGTCGGATAGGCCATCTACAGGTTGCCATTTCTGTAATCAAACTGGATAGCCCCAACGGAACAGTCCATGTGGAACGGGACCGGGCCCCTAGCTCTGCCTGCAATAGGCCAGGAAGCCATCTTTCTGCCAAGTCATAACAACAACCTTCCATGATGACATGGATGACCTGAAGACCAACGTCCAACTTTGGTTAAACATATAAGGCGCAGGGATAACTGTCTTATCCTGATGGTCGGATAAGCAGTATTTGGATTGGCAAGTAAGGTTCTAATGTATGGCCGGGTCGGGAACTCCGAACATCGTTGTATTCGGTTTGACGCTTGACAATCAACTCCTTCTCCCGGCGCTGTGTCGTTTGCAGACAGTATGTATCTGACAGAGGTGTTGCTGGTGTCAGAAAGACAATAGGAATCTCAGAAAAGGAGGCCTGGTGTAGAAGCATATTTTAACAGTAGTAGTGGTATACTGAGGGGGATGAGGCAATAAGAAATCTGCTAAAGAGATTGTCTAGATAGCACTCTTGAACATGACAACATGCTATTTAATAGTTGTACCTGTAGAGTGAATTATTCATTTTGCCAAAAGCGCTAGCCTATTCTCAAGATGTTTCAAATTTGTAGCAACGATGTGTCCATAACGGCAATGCTGAAGTTTACCTTGCGTACTATTTCTGCAAGTTCTTGGTGGCTTACGACACAGCTTTATGCCGGGGACACTAACCGATATATGGTCTGTCAGAAGCTTGAAACATATGCAAACATCCGAAGATACAGAAGGTCATTACACAAGCCAACGCTTCTTGTCTTGGCGGTATAACGCCTGAAAAGACTATAGTTGTTGTTTCAAGTGGGGCGAGCTTATAACTAAACCTCAAAGGCTGTAGACCAAGGCTGAGTTACGTGTATTGTGGTCATTGGATGACTTATCATGCTTGACCCCGTGTTGGGGACTGTATCACGACTGAGTGAGATTATTTTCCATGTTGCACTTCTCCATGATGTTTTGTCATTGAGCTCTGTATGCAGTTTAGGCTTCTATATCTGTTGGGGGGCTGATAATTTACTGATATTTGATAAATACAAAACCGACGGCTTGCTAACTATTCAAGACCTGTACAAGCCCGGATCCTTTCCCCCAGATTCCAGCGCTTTAATCTGCCAACCTTCCATCGGATAGCCATGTTGTCGTATCAAACATGTCGATCGCGAAATCGTATTCCTGCATGTCAATCGGTGTTGGATCCCCGGAGCTCTCCGAGACTTCAGAGCTATGGTAATCTGCACTGGCCGCCGTTGACAAGGATCGGCAAACATCATGGACCGGGCTAACCATTTCGGCTCCAACAAGGTCACTGGTTGACCACGTTGTCATGTCCAAGCCCATCAGCCATCCCATGGGATCTATAGAGTGATCTTGTTCTGATAAAAATAGTAACTGGCTGTCGCCCGCTGGGATATCTGCATCCTGCAAATGGGCCTCATAGTTCGTCTGTACCGCACAAGGAGAGGCATTTTGCGGAAGAGCGATGCCGGATAAGAGCCCTGCTTGCTCAACAGTCTTTATCAGAACATGGTTCATTTCTAGRCAGCCCTTTAGAGTTTKTTCCAGTTCAACAACTCTTTGCTGGAGCCTTTCAAGCTCAACCTTTTTCCGTTCCCGGGAGTTATGCGCAGAACGACGATTGCGAAGCACGCGTTCGACCATTCTTTGCTCTCTCTCATCAGCTGTCCTAGCGCGCCGCCTGTCAAATCACGTAAGCTTTGGGCCTAAAATGGGCTTGGAGATTGGCTACCTCGGTGGGATATTTGTACGTGGCTCGGGAAGCACCCGTCCCCACTTGGCACGCCCCCTTTGGGTATTATTTTCGTTTGAAGAAGATATGTTCGTTTCTGAGGAGATATTATGATATACCGCCGCTTGGTCTGGCGAAGTCTGAGGCTCGAGAAGCATTTTGATAAGGGTCAGATGTTCGTTACAAGGTTCCTACTCAGTAACAAGCCTCACAGAGAAAGATCCCAAATCAATAAGCAGAACAGAGGAATATAAAAGACAAGACAAAAAGAGTAGTTTGCTCTCTGTATCTAGACATTAATACGAAAGGTTCACAGGATCAACATTGAAGATAGTGCTTTGATAATAATATTAACGAAGTCAGCTTGGTATCTAGACAGAAATAAGGAGTTGATACCTGCATGTCTTTGGTTTCATTTGTTTTAAACTTTTGGGCATTACGTTTCAGGTTTTCATTTTATTTTTAACAGTTAGCGGCTAATGGGGGCCGTGCTAAGAAGTCAAGAGCTTTAGTTGTAGTTAACGGGCTGACGGCCCAGCTGGCTGATGTTAGAGGCTAGACGTAAATGGGTCATGTGAAGTCAGTATCGTTTAGATCCCGGTCGTAGCCAATTATGCAGTGCATAATTACATGGCTGCTATTTTGTACCAGGTCTTGACGATTGGCTTAACCTTCCTGAAGCAATGATCCTGTCAGCTTGGTGTTTCCCAGAAGCGACTGCTAGATCTTTTGCCACGTCGAGATTGTTACTGCCACGTTGAGAATTGAGATAAAATAACTTGAAGCAGTTCGGTCCAACAGTCGTGCAGTTTATCTCTCTTTTGGGGCCCATGGTACGCACAACATTGCCGCCGGTAGGTTATTAAAACGTGCAGAGCATAGCTGTACTATCTGCTATGGCACACCAGCCATCTGATTTCCGCAGGCTATCTCACATAGAAAAGTCGATTAGAGTCCAATTGATGCTGCTTCCATTTTCTCCAAACTCTTGTGCTCCGGCAAGAAGTTCATTAATCCAACCGGTCTCATTGATGGGAGACGAAAACAGGGTCAGGCCCGGGAAGTCCCATTCGAAGACAAACTGATCTGGGACAAAAGACTCAAGCTCGTTGTCGCAATTCCTCTCTTGAGTCAGAGGAAAGGATGTTTGTCCTCCTCCAGTGCCTCCTTCATCTTGACCTAGCCAACGCTTATACTTCTGTATACTCGTCTTTAAAAGTCGGAGGTATAGTGAACTGGTATTTGATCGAGTGTCGTCTTTGTGTCCTGCCGCAGCCACTAGTTCTAGTTCCTGTAGCAAAATAACAGCCTTGATAGCAAGTTAATTACTGAGGCCTTGCGTCTGCAACTTTTCCGTGTCGGGGAGCAAAGCGGACAACTTGAGCAGAAGAAGGCAACAGAAAGTATTCTTTGCTCAGACAAAGTCCATTGCATACCGGATACTCTTGAGATATATCTTTAGTTTTTAGATGATGATATCAAAATGTTACTAAAGCGAAGCTTTGGTCATTGATAACATGTTCTTCTGGATGGGCGACATGACGTTGACTTTCTCCACGCCTGCAGCCCTTACCGCACGACAAAGAGCCATGTTATCCGCCCAGCAGCGCTGAATAGAAAGGTTAGGCATAAACTAAGGCATCAATTCGTGATGCGGGTGCGAGATACGTATCCAGTCCTGGAACCAAACATCAATGTCGAGTTTGGCGTCTTTCACAAGATCGAGAATCTCTTCGTCACTCAGATGTGAGCCCTGGGGCAAAGACGCATATATCTTTGCACGAAGAACATTCAACTCGACCTGAGTGAAGAGATAATGAGCCATCCCGGTAGCGAGTGGACTTTGCAAAAGGACTCTGCATCTGCGTGAAGCACCTCGAAACTTGAACGTTGGCATTCCTCCGGCATCTACGTGTAGAATGCAGCTCATCACCAATAAATGCAGCCAAACTCTAGTTTTTCGCATACGCGTCGTGTTGTTGTTGTAGGCAGCTTGGTCGGTGTTGTCCATCTGCATGTCTCCCAAGACGGATTCCACGATGAGTGCATCGTAGGCTTTGGGGAATCTAAGACCCAAGGCCATGTGCGTCGCAATTGCAATCAGGAGAGCCCTCTCTCCCGCATAGCAAGCTTGAACAAGGATTGTCTGTACCGTCTCAAGACCTCTCATCAATGGATTCACGATAGCAGCATTGAGCATGCGTTGAGTCTGGAGTGCAAGAGTCCGCCATCTCGAGCTTGTGCCGTTGAGTACACGACACCCAACTGAGCATATTGTGATAAATAGCAAAGCACTGTTGTTGCGGGATAGCTTCAGTTGTGTCAAGTCGCTGGTCAAAGACGGGAACGTAGCGGCATCGACCCATCGCAGGAGACCCTCTGGGATCCCCCTGGCCTTCATCCGCTGCAACAATCTCTCTTTGCACACGCCGTTATATGCTCCCTTCACGTCGAAACTGATGAGACTCACAACRTGACGCGAGCGCCATGCTGAGAATATGTGTTCTTGTAGTAGTACGAGGGCTTGTTCTGCCGATCGCTGCTTGCGCGCGCCAAAGTGGTTAGTCGAGAGGAGCCCGTGGGCCTCTACCGCGTAGGAGATTCTCTCGGCCACCACCGACTCTAACACCTTGCCCAACGTGGCTAGAAGCGAGATCGGTCTCCAGGCTTTCGCAATCGTGTAATCGTCTTTTCCTGGCTTCTTGAGCGGAATGATTCGAGCGTGTCTCCATTGTTTCGGTATCACGCCTTCCTCTAATGATGCTTGGAAAATGTCGAGGACGTCGTGTTTCACCGATGGCCAGACCTGCTTCCAGACGATCGCTGGCAGTCCGTCTTCTCCTGGCGCCTTCCATGACTTTGTCTCCCACAGTCGACGCTCCACTTCTTCCAGAGTCAGTTTCGGCATTACTACTGGAGCTCTTTGTTGCCTCAATCCTTCGTCTTCAATGTTATCTGGCAGTGGCGGGAAGAACTTGGCTAGAAGTTCTTCGGCTTGTTCTCGATGTTTTGTCGTTTTCGTTCCGTCCGCTCTGGTGAGCTGAGGCACTTTCCCAAAAGCTGCATCGTCCCCAGACCTCATGTACTTAGCTGCCTTCCAGATGTTGTCGTTGTCCGCTAGGAACTCCTTCCAATGGTTCATCTTGCGTTGTCGGATGGCGTCGTGATACTGCTTCGCCGCGGCGGTCGCTGTACCCTCGAGGCCCGAGAGGTTCTGGCCGGCACGTCTCGCAGCTCGCGCTCTGTTCCTCCAATATGTATAAACGTGTCGCAGCTGTGTAAGATCATCGGTCCACCATCTTTTTGCGTATGGAGACGGTTTGGCTCTGGGTGTCAGGGCCTGGACAGCTTCTGAGACCGCCATCATCAGTCTATCCGTCTTCTGCTGCACCGTGTTTCCCCTTGGTCTATCTCTTAGTATGTTCGCTATCCTGCTGTTGATCTCCTTCCAGGGTGCATTCTTGAACAAGAGCCTTTCGTCCTGTTTCGGCGTCGGAACTGAGATGTCGAACACCGTCTCTATCGTGCGATGGTCTGATCCGTGCTCCGTACCATGTATCCCACATTTGATGTTCGCATTCGCAAGCTCCTCGGAAACAAGGGTCAAGTCAATCGTTGTTTCGTAGTCTCCGCTTTGCCATGTCTTTGTGCCCCGTCGGAGAAGGCTTCGAAGCATGAAGTCGTTCATCAAATCGATGATCGGATCTGCCTCGCCTTGTCTCGCCGCCGCTACATCGTCTCCTCCCCACATCTGGTCGTGTCGGTTGAAGTCGCCAGCAATCACCACATCCACCACTCTCCCTGACCTTCGCCTCACTTCCGTGATGGCCCTATCAAGCCTACTGCATATGTCTTGTAGAGCTTGGGCATCTCCCCCTGGTACGTAGACAGACGCCGTGAAGACCAGACGCTCCGGCAGCTGAATAACCGCCGCCGTCACATCTGGGGACTCTACTGGCACCTGTTCCGCTTCCACCTCTTTGTTCACCCAAAGCATACTCCGGATCACCCATCTACCTTCTCTCTCAGCTGTCGGCATCATCTTGACCCATCCATGATGTCCCATCGGAACCGTCAATAGTTTCCCTTGGATCCGTCGTGCCTGGGGTTCTTGGATGGCCAACACGGTTGCATCCTGAATATCCTTATCGTTCATCAGGCTCTCGTGTACTGGTCCCTGCTTTCTTACATTCAGTTGAAACAATCGGAATGCGATATTCATGTTGTGACGGATAGAGTTTCTGACAGTTTCTGCTGTATGACTCATGAGGGCCACCGCATGGGACGCATCTCGGGATCGCTTCTGTGCACCTGCTATGGTGGTGACCTTCTCGCGCACATCTTCCGCAGATCTGCGGTCGGTCGCACTGGTAAGCCTTGTGGCTCGTGATCTGTTGGCAGTTATAACATTGATTTGGACGTTCACGACGTTCAAACACTCTCGTGGTGCCGGACTCTCCTCCAGCCACGAAGAAGCCTTCGCCGATGAATCGYCTAGCTTCGGACCGCTTCTTGAGGTACACGACCATCGAACCGTACGCCTTGGGAACGTCTCGCCTGCTGAGCCATGCTACCTTCGCTACCTCGGTGTCGTTCTCTCGGCCAAGAGTCTCTGCGGCTTCTGTCCGAATTTCGTTCCTCTCGTTCAGCACCGCGGTGCGACTGACATTGTCTACCTTGATCGGGTAGAGATCATCCCGTAGGACGCGAGTTCCTCGAACCAGTTTTGTCTCTGCAATTTGTTTCACAGCCTCATGTTCGCTTTCGTCCCTGCAACTAATCCTGATGCGGTAGGGGTTCTTTGGGTCCTTCGTTACGGCCCTACATCGCCAAGTGGGATTATCCAGTTCGGCGCGCACTTCGTTYTCCACTGTCGCTCTGACCAGCCCAGCCGAGGGCCTGGCATTCTCATCTTCTATTCGCGAAGTGTCAATCGTGCAGTAGAGCGTGTCCATAGGGATCTGAGGAATGGTCAAGGTCGCGGTTCTGGGATCGGTTAAAGGCATAGAYGTCGARRRTCGTGTGACATCAGCGTATGATCGTTGTGGTCCGTCTGTTGCGCTCGTCGCAATAGTTTCGAGCTGTTCGCGGACCCGCTGTAGTTCTTCGGCCATCTGTTCTTTCATCTCAGCCATCTGCTTGCCCATGTCGCCCATCATCTCTCCCTGCTTTGCAACAGTTTCCTGAAGTTCATTGGTCATTTCCATCTGTTCTCTCAGCGCTTCCTGCAATCTTTTAGTCTCCCTGCGCGACTCCGCCAGGAGATCCAGCGCCTTCTGTAGCATAGCCCTTCCATCGCTGCTGTTGCCGCTATTCTTCCGGGTCTCGGTCGGTCGGTCGATTTGTTCTTCGGTCGGTATGTTTCGCGTCGTCTGGCGGGTTGTCTTTCGCGTTTCTTTCGCAGTGTCCTCCAGTTGTCGCGCGGTGTCTCGGACTTTGCTCGTCGGTCTCACCACTCGACTTGATCGTTTTGGCGTTGAAAAGGGGATGTCATCCTGCTCCACCACGATCTCGGCTCCTATTGGATCCGCCATCACGGCAAGCTGACCAGCCTCCACGCACACTTTTTATCAAACCAACGACAACAATCTCTGATTCCCTCGGGCGTACTTTGATAGCGATTTCTAATCCAAACAATAATTTTGCCTCTTCCCTTAAGATCTTCTGTTTCAACAACAATGGCGAAGTGGGGCGTTTGCGCGACGAACGCGTCGGCTGTCCGCCGAGCCCTGTTAGCCGGGCATAGCTGCGGATAAAAGCGGCCACAACCGTGTAGGATAATCAAATCAAATCAAATCAAAATCCATCGTCACCAACACCCGAAACCACAACACAGCGCTCTATGGAAATCGATACCTTGTCGAGCCCAGTAATAAACTGGCTTGAACACATTCCCGCTAAATTTGACAATTCTGAGCCGACACCTCGCATCCAAACTCGCAGCGACTTGAAACGACGACGTTTGTCAATATCAGATCAGTCAGCATCAAAACGTCAACTCATCTCCCCTCCCTCATCTCAGGGCGAGCATTATATTGCAGGAATGGATTTGGCAGTGAATACGACGCCAAATAAAAAAAGACCAGCTAGTACCTCGGGACAATCAAATGAAGAAATCGACGACGAAACACCACGAGGCGATCCCAACAGAGGAAAACAGCGTGGTTTTGGGAAAGCGGAAAGCCTTCATTCCGAGAGCAGCAGCGAGTACTCGCGCAGTAGCAAACGCTCCAGAGGCTCTGCGTCACCATTGAAATTATCATATGTATCGGGGCCCTATGGGCATCGGCTCGCGCGAGACGGTTCTGCTGCATTGCATAGTAACAAGCTCTCAGCTGTCCGAGAGCTCATCGAGGACTTTGAAGACATACAGAGCCGGCTTTGCATCATGCCAAAGAGGATAGAGGAGGCTCTGAAGAAGCAGGGTGTCGGCAGGCTGAATAACGGCATGTTCTTTGACGACCATCATCTCACTCATGGACCTTGTGCCGATGATTTGGTTCGTCAAGCGTTACGCATCGTGAAACATTCCGATATCTGTTCTACTCAGCTTCAGGACGAAGCGGCATGAAACAACCTCGTGCACTCCCGTCTGCTGGACCTTTTCATCCACGACATCCACGACGGACCAGGCCAGGATATCCTTGATTACATGCCTTGGTAAATCAAGCCTTCACTTGCACAGTAATATACTAACACATACGTACCTTTCAGCAATACCACCAATATGAATATTTCATATCACCGATTCGACGTCCCTGCTAGCCGCGTTGATTACGTCGTCAGGCTGCCCGCCCAGCCCATGAGAAACACACAAGACGATGAACCTATCGACCTGTTGGACTCAAACAGAATGCCAATATTGAACTGGACCGCCAACCAGCTCGTGCCCATAGCCTTTAGCATTGAAACTAAGCGTTACGGTAGTGATGTGCTGAAGGGCGAGCAACAGCTTGGGATCTGGAACGCTGCACAATGGGAGTACCTCCTATCCAAGGCCGGCGTTGATGCTGCAAACGAGCTGGATTTCATCCCCGGACTTGTCGTACACGGAGAAACGTGGTCTCTTGTTATCACAACAAGACAACATTCCAAGACGGTAAGCAACATCTTCGGACTTGATCAATGTAACGTTCTGACATTTGCTTCTAGACTCTCTTCCCCGGGATCCCATTTGGCCATACTCAGTCACCCATCGGTGTATTCCAAGTCATCGCTGGCTTGAGACGACTGCGTCGGTGGGTATTGGATGTGATGTGGCCTTGGTATAAGCAGTATTTGCCTGGTCTTCAACTAACGGGTAGTATGAAGCAGCAGAAGAATATCATCATGGCTGGAGGAAGCCAAATAGTTCAGAGTGAGGAGCAGCAGGTCGCTGGGGAGTTGACAGGCATGGCAACCTGAGTTTGTTTGATACCATGATAGCAAGTACTGTTGAGATTACATTGGATTTGCTGTCATCTATAATGGAAGTGATTCTGTTCTACAATACCGCCTAATCTTTTGTAACTCTGCACTTGGTGCTGATGATTCACCTTAAATTCGTGAATTCTATAAAAAGAATCTAATTTTACAAATTGAAAGTAACGTACATGATAAGCGAGTGGATCAGACAAGTGAGTGGATCAGGAAGCCCCGACTCTGGAAATAAGAATTACAACATAGGCATAACAAGCTATTTAATCCATTACAATTAATCGCTATACCCTTCTTAAGACACGGCCACAACTATCTGGCAGTCCTTGCATTGTGTCCTGTATTGCCGCATGTTCTACAACACCTTTCCCTCATTCGTGGCGACCCCCCTTGATCACCACCTTTTGACGATTCGGCCATTACCTGCGCTTCAGCATCCGTCGGATCAAGTGGTTGCCTCCCTTCCTCTACTATCATCACCCCTCCTCTCTGTAGTCGGGTTCTTTTTGCTCTCCGCCGACGGCTTAGTATCTCGTTTGCTTGTTCAAGATCTCGGACCCTGGCCTCTAATAGGGCGACCTTGTGCATGACTATCTTTGTTCCCTTCGAAGAAGACCTCAATGCTTCCAAAATTGACTCTGGAGAGCTACTTTTATGCCTCTTAATTCTACTTTCGAGGTATTCAAGCTGAGAGTGGGTCTCAAGCACCGTCCTTGGCGTCTTTGAAACCCAAGGGGTCGAAGGGCTAGCTGCCTCCTCTGCAGGCGTCGGTGTCCGTAGCTGCACGTCAAGCTTTGAAACCACATTTTCTGGGTCGAAAGGAACAAGACCAGCTCCTCTGAAAGCTGCCTTGATATTTTTCTCCGTCATTATGGCTCGAAATGCGGCGTGAAACGCTGGAAAGAACTCGGTCTTGGAAACGTGGGTCACAGAGCATCGGATYAGATGCTCWATTTCTSGCMCATAAGCCTTCTTGAGCAGGCTGAAGCACACCAAATCGAGAGGCTGTAGCAGRTGAGAMGAATGAGGTGGCATRCAAAGCGTGATGATCTTATTCGCCTTGCAATATCTCTCGAAGTCAACCGAGTGGTGACTTTCATGCCCATCCAGGATCAGAAGGCGGTAGCGATTTCTTGAATGCTTGGTAGTACGCCTATCGAAGTGCTTGAGCCATTCCAGGCCTATTTCGTTATCGGTCCATCCATTTGGAGATGTTGCAATAGCCCAATCGCCTGGGAGGTCGCTTCCTTCGTACCAGTTGGCGAGGTGATATTTGCCTGCACCTATGATGAATGGCGGGATGGTTTGACCTTCGGCATTAATTGCTTGAATGGCTGTAATCCACTCTCGGTTTCCAGGCTGGATTGACTTTGGTCTTCCACGCCTTTCAGCACCTGTGACGACCATACCGCTGGCAATCATACCCATAAGAAAACCAGTCTCGTCAAAGTTGTAAATTTCATCCGATCTGATGTTGTGTTTGGTGATTGTGTTCTGCACAAGCCTAAACCAATTGCGAATAATGGTTGGATCTTCGTATTTGGCTCTCTGGTAGTCATATCTACGGAAAAAACGCGTCTTGAGCTCTTTGTGTCGTCTCACGAAGTTAGAGGCCCAGCGCTTGCCGACAGGCGGCGTGCCGCGGTCGGCGAGCAATCGGTTAGCTATATCCTCAACGCAACGTAGTCGCGGAGGGAAACCTCTCAAATCTAGATCGAGAATGAACTGAACTATGACATTTTCCTCTAGATCAGATAGTCGGCGTGACTTCGGGGTAGTATCGTATCGAGACTGGATGCCATTCTCACGGCGCCATAATGTACTATAGCCAACTTTGTAGATCTTTGCAGCGCGCTGCAGACTCAAATTAGATTTATTTCGGTAGGCCTGGAGTGCCAGAATAATCCTTGCTTCATAGTTGGCTTTTGACATTATTATCGTTTGAGAATCAATTGATTGAGGATAGAGGGTGTAGGTTGAGGGATTTTTGATCCACTCACTTGTCTGATCCACTCGCTTATCATGTACGTTATAAGTTAACTGTACATGAACTTAACTTATACTGGATTTGCATTTTTCGTTTCTGTCAAACACGCCTAAACTGGAAGTGCGACGCATTTTCGCTCTCCATACTTGAGTAGGGGCACAAGTCTTCCTCAGGCCGTAAAATATAGGAAATGCACCGCACTGAGCCGTTGGATGACAATGTCGAGAAGCGCGCCTTATCAATAAGAGCTGGCCCATTACCTGTCCAAACGTCTAGGCTGTGATCCGGAACTTCTCCTCGGTGGTCCGGACCCACAACCCCCTAATTAGTGCTCAAACAAACCCACCGACACAACCGCTTTTAGAAGGTAGGAGTGGATAACCTTGTCGTAGCTCCAATGTCAGTTCTTATCGCGAATACTCGCCGGATGTTGCTTCGGGCACACCTGAGGGTCCCTGTACTTTAGTTATTGATATTGGTAATGAAACAGATGTTTTCCAGGGTTGAACAATGCGAAACATTGTTCTGGGTTAGGTCTCCTGTGTCTGTTGGTTCTGCAGTCTTTGAAGCTAGGCACAGTAGTTTGTGTATGGCTGGCCTGGCAACGCAGCTAGCATACCGCTGTGTAGCAAAAGGCTCCATATCTTAAATAACTGATCTGCCAATGCTCCGTATCAGGTTCCATCCCCCACTTATCTTCCAACACCATTAAGCCAAGCCAACGCTGAGCCGTCGGCTTTACCTCACTTACGAAGCCGAGAGTGCTGAGAGTGGGCGGAGAGCAATTATGGTGTTGAAGAACCTTCACCCCGCTTTACAAAATTCGGGGAACCAACTACTGAGGAAAGCGGATGGAACAATTCTAGTCTCTTGTACAAGTGGGCGAGTGCGCCATGGCCAAAGATCAGGCAAGAAGAAGGCACCTCCGTGATAAGAGCAGCGGGGGGCACAGTTTCCCTTTGTCCGATCCAACGATTACGTACGACGATGTTTGCTACGTTCTGTTGGTTCCCCCCTGCTCGTCGTCGGTTGGGCGAAGACATTGTTGGTGATTAGTGGGTCTTGTATGATTTCTCATACGATAGGCAGCCAGTAACAGCATTCCCTGTTGATCAATTAAATCTCGCGTCCACTGAAACGGAGTCGCCATGAACTTTCGAGAGGTACTAATCATTAGCTTTTTGGTTGAGTAGATAAGCAAAGAGTCCCAACAGCCAGGCCCAAAAACGCCCATTCCCGGCCAAAATCGTTTTCTGTCTCACTTTACCGCACTCAGTTTTTCACAATGTGTTACTTCGACCAGGTTGTTTGGGCTTGCGGCAACTGGAAGTGGGGCAAGTTTCGCGAACAATGCAACAAAGAGTACCGCATCGGAGAAACCTGCGGATTGAAGCTTGTGTATGGGCGGCAAGATGAAGCAAAAGACTGTAAAATATGCGATCGAGTGACGAAGAAGGAAAACCGGATTAGGAGGACGACCGAAAGAATGGCTCGGCTTCATGAATGGAAACTTTTGGCCAGCCTTGAAAGATGCGAAGAAGAGGTGGCTTCCCTGAAGGGTGAAGTTTCGAGACTGCGCGAGCAACACAGCACACACATGGCTGGAAGAGCCGCCTTCCGCCTTGAGTCTGGAAACCCATTCGAGTTTCATACCAGCCTTGGCGGTCCATTCTCTTGCCCAGCGATTCCTGTCGTCCTTACTGAAAGGCAAGATGACCTACCATCACCAATGCTCTTCGAAATCTATGCAGCCAGGCGTCAGACGCGACCTAAAGACAACAACAATCGTCTATTACGTATCTCAAAAACCTCAGCTGGGATCAAAAAGCATGGGAAAACTTTGGCTTAAACTTCCTTACCGGTCAATGGTTGGCTCAACGCAGCCGCTGGTACTGGCTACTCTCCCAAATTCATGGAGAGGAGGAGAGTGGGGAATTGTAACGGACCCAGAAGCAACGCTGAAGATGCCGATATAATGTCTTGCTTACCGAATACAGTAGAGTTTCATCTATCGAACTATGGGTCTTTCATGCTTAGATAGTGAAGTACTAAGATGCTATTGGCGCTAGGGAAATAATAAATGCTTCCCATCATGCTCCCCATATTCTCGAGTTTTCACTTCGGAACAGATCGGCCTACGGCTTTGCGGACTTTCGATGGCGGCCTGTCATCGACTTCGTCCATGTTGATAGACATCTCCTACACACTGGAATGATATGGTGCTTAGGGTTTGATGTGCAGATTTTCTTAAAGTGTGTATGATGAAAGGGCCTCGAACAACAGGTTTCAATGTGACGTCGACCGGAACTCATTAAGACCCCGGCCAAATTATATTTCGCCTGCAGAATACTGCTTCTCTAACTGGCGCAGGATCTTTCCAACCACCTCCTTCGCTAGCTTGTTAATATCCTGAACATCAAATCCTTTCTTGAAAATGACCTTGTCCCAACCGACGTTGCTCCCGTCACTATCCTGGAGAGAGTATTGGTTTTTATTCACAAAATGCAGGTATTCACATCCGCCAGAATCACCTAGAGACTTTAATGGGCTTGAGTTCTTCAGAGTTCCAACTACACATTGCTCGTTCTTCAACTGCAGTCGACGACTGCGCTGTTTGGTTATTCTCTGCTCCTCGCGTCGTGTGCGAGCCCGTGATGCTTCTATCACGTAAGATTAGATGTCCATTTCGGGTCATGGCTTTGGAAACTCACTGTGTCGATAGCGAGCCATTTTTCTCGAATACTTAGCTGTGGTTCCAAACATCCATACGTTCGAAAGAGGTGTCGTCAAGGTCAGACTCAAGCAGCAGTCGTAAAGATGGTGGGGCGATGCGGGGGTTTCCAAACGGCCCATGACGCCATGGATAGCGTGGCACAGGCCATCCGCCGCAGGGTAGGCATGATCTTCACTGCCTCAGGAAATAACTGCATTAGATGCTTTAAGTAACTCTGCAGAATGAAATACCCTGCACGAAAAAACGAACAACAATCAATCAACCATTTGCTGCTGCTTATCACATTCACTTGAACCCCTCTAGGCACGCCCAGTGGATTAGTCAGGAAGTCGTCAGTGGGTATTTGCAGGAGTGCTTTCACTTTAAACAGCCTCTGATTAGTTGCTACGAGGCAAGGGAGACAGTCCGGTTTACCAGCGGCTTACCTTATATAAGCTTTACTATGGGTCTTTTTGGTCGATACAGATCGTTTCAAGAGAGTAAAATGCAATTCATTGAAAGGAGTCAATTGATAAAGGCTCTTCCTATATTCTAGTGTGCTTTTCACTTCGTGCATTGGCGTGGTTGAGACGCAGTGCGTCAAAATCTGTTTTCTCCTTCTATTTGAACGGAGAGGTCAACCAGGACCCCTCCAACCATCATCGATATCCCCAAGACGCCTGGGAACCGGGGTCATTGCTTTTATTTGTGCTGTAAGATATAGGTACTCTGAACAAAGATTCTGAGATCCCTAAAAAGGAAAAAGATGGTAGGCCCGAAATGTTGGGCATCAAAGGCCGCCAGATAATGGTAGGCCTCCGCATGAGAGAAGAGGCAACTAGCCTGCTAGGACTAATACTAGGACTAATGCAGCCGCGACATGCAATCACCAACAACTGGGACGGTTACCCCACGGTGGTAAGTCTGATTGGTGCTAATGTTATCTCTCACCTTGAGCAATAGCGCTCAAGTGGCCGCCTCTTTTGTAAACTTGTTGGCTTTTCTGCAGGTCTCTCTAAGGTTTTCTTGCCGAGTTAATTATGCGTTGTCTTCCTGCGAATAATTGGTTCCGTTCTGTTGCTGTATGTTGGAGGCCTACCAAACGCTCTGTGCGCTCCTGGAAGGTCTTCAAATGGTTGGGGGCGATAAGCAGATTTAAGTTAACGTGGTTGATAAGCGAGTGCAGGAATGATCAGTTTGTTATGTTCAGGACGTCGGAAGTGGTGTTAGGATCTTTACAATCTTTACAATCTTTACAAGAGTTAGGGGGAGCGTGGGAGCCGTGAAGCGTTTTTGCCGCAAAATGGACGCGACCGGTGACGTGATCCTGGTGCAAGGAGGAGCATCTGCCGCGGCGACGCGTCGGACCTCAAGAGCCATGAAGCCGACGGCAAAACTGCAGGAACAACTGCAGGAAAACCCGCAGGCGGTGGGGAAAAGGATTGGCGTAGCTACAGTACAGCCC